TTTCGTTTACCACCACTCACTTCCACACCAAGACAAACACAACTGGAAAGGGAGGGAGGACTTCACTTGGTCCTCACTGCAGAACACAAGATCCAGGGGGCGAGGTTGGATCCAGATCCAACTCCTCCCACATTACATACACCTAAACCTACCCATCTCCATATCCTGATCCCTAAACCCACCCATCTTCACCCCTAAACCTACCCATCTCCACCCCTAAACCTACCATCTCCACCCCTTAGATGTGGATCCAACCCCGCCCCCTGGATCTTTGTTCTGCAGTGAGGGACTACTGCGCAAACTAGATGATTCGAGCAGACCGCACACTTGTCGATTCTAAGAACGATTTCACAGTGACAGGTAATCTCACGGACACTCGCGAGATCAAACGTGACTAGAGAAGAAAAACAAATAGAAGACAATCAACGTTAATTGTCAGCTGGCTCTCCTGGCGCGCGTTCTGTTTCACAGGGAAAAACAAAGTATAAAAAAGAATATGGGTGATGTTCTCTGCTTTTGTGGCATGTTTGTGGCTGCCAATTTTCAGCTATAGAAGCACGTAACATCCGGTATTTGACGCTTGCTCGCTCTCATTGGCTATCGAGGGGTATCACGTCAGAGGCAGCCTGATCAAGAGTTGTAAATATCAAACATGTTTAATATTTACGATTTGAGTTCGGAGATGCTCCGTCTCGATCGGGAGCAGATAAATAACCGTAATGACGCCACACAATAGATTTTGTGGACAAAAAATTGCTTGCGACAAGCCGCAAATCGGGTCACACCCCCCGATCGTTTGGGGGTGCAAATCGGGCTTAAAATCGGCCTTAAAATCCACTAGTGTGCGGCCAGCCTAAGATGAAAATCAGATCGACAATATATACAGTGTTAACAGAGAGATACAAAGAGAATCCAACAGACAGAGTGACAACAAAGAACAACATACTGTAGAGAAAGACAGTAACAGCAGACAAACTGCACACATACTCTAAAACATTCTCAGATTGTTTCTTTTGTTTTTACTGTATGTGTAAATTTGTTATAAACGTGTGCTCTTTAAAAAGTAGAAAGTAGTAATTGTGCGTGTCTGTGGGTGGGGCTGTGTGGGTGAATGTGTGCTGGTGTGGCTACAGTGTCAGGCCTGAATTTTAATTCCAGTGCACACAGCCTCTCTAGTTTTTACTCTATTGTCCCCACAGTGTTTGATGAGATAATCAGGCTGTCTAATTCCTCTACTAGTCAACATCATACCTCTGTTTTCACTTCTGAACCTCACTCTTCATGCCTTACTCACAGCCTCTCTAGTTTTGACTCTGTTGTCCTCACAACGGTTGATGAGATAATCAGGCTGTCTAATTCCTCTACTAGTCTTCTTGACCCTGCACCTGCCTCTTTACTGAATAATCGGTTGACTGCTTTGTCACGACCCATCACTCATTTCATTAATACGTCAATGTTATCTGGAACTGTACCATCTAAGCTTAAGATTGCTGCTGTGACCCCGGTTTTCAAAAAGCATGGTCTTGATCCTTCATCCCTAAGTAGCTACAGGCCTATTTCGAACCTTTCTTTTCTTTCTAAGAAATTAGAAAAAGTTGTTGCCTCCCAATTACAGGCAACAGCACACAACCTCTATGAACCTTTCCAGTCTGGCTTTCATCCATTACACAGTACTGAAACAGCACTGTTGTACCTCAGGGTTCTGTCTTGGGCCGTCTTCTTTTCACTATTTAAATGTTACCAATTGGACAAATAATCAAACACTCTGGGTTTAACTTCCACTGTTGACATTCAGATTTATTTTAGCACACCCTCCACCTCAGTGTTTCCTCCGCCTACATTAACAACTTGCATCTTTTTTATTTTTATTTTATTCTTTTATTGTTTTGTGAGTCTGGCCCTCTGCAATTGATTCTTTGTGATGATTTCTTTATTACTTGATTGGACGATTTTTTTTTTATTCCTAAAAAATATAGTAGAATTTATTTCAATCAAAACGTAAAAGTGTTAATAGATGAAAATTTTGTAGTTGTTATTCATGTTGGACCATTGAACAATAGTTTTTACATTTGCCATCACTAGCATTTGTTTCTTCTTTAAGTTCTTTAACTATCAATTAAGACAGTGTTGTAATATGAAAGATAGTATGTATACACAATGATTTCAATACAGCCTTGAGGTAAAGGTACAATATCTTAGTTCGTAATATAAACAGTGAGATATTTTATACTTTATAAATAAAGCATTCAAAGCTTCAGTTATTCTTGATGGCTAAAAATCTAATTTGATCTGTGACTCTGATTTGACTTTTTAATCGATTAATTTTATTTTATTGTAAAGCTGTCCTTTGTAAGTGACAAGTCAGATTGTGAGGTTCGTAAAAGCAGGACAGGAAAAATAAGTCCTTTACCTTCAAACTAAACACAAACAAACAGACACTTTTCTGCAAAAGCAGACCACAGCAGGTTTCAGTTTGACTGCTGAGTGTTCGAAAACAACTAAATGTGGGTGTGGACAAGGAAAGTTACACTTTTTTGGTTGAAGAATCACACCAGATTTCACATTTCAGGAGACAGTGTTATTAGATCGGACTTTGATCTAGATCCCTGGACCATTGAAGAAAATGTTTTACATGTTTGTTTTGATCTGTTTGTGTTGGTGGCGTCTGACTGGTAAGTTATAAATGTATATCAAATTTCTTTAAGTTGTCAGAGTCTTAAATCTGCTGCTAATGTTCTAATTAGAGGATTTGCATTTGCAGTTATTCTCAGATAAATGAACCCTCTAGTTATGTTCCAGCCATTTTGACCTGGAGAAAATTTGATTTTTTCCTGAAAATACTATATTTTTGCATTGGACTAAAAATGGAACACCACATTAGATTAAGGATTTTCAACACAGCATAAGGGTTAAACATATTATTGTGAGATCTACTTTGGATTCAGGCCCATATTTCAGTGAGCCAATAGTGTAATGTCCAGGGCATATCTCTCTTTTTTGTTGTCAAGTCAAGTCACCCTTATTTATATAGCGCTTTCAACAATACAGATTGTGTCAAAGCAACTTTACAGTATCAAATAAGAAAATAGTGTGTCAATAATGTAAATGACAAGATTAAACACTCAATTTGCAGTTAAAGGCATTTCATTATTGAATTCAGTGATGTCATTGTCCAGCTCAGTTCAGTTTATATAGTATCTGTGCAATCAAGTCGACGATATCGTTGGTTGTTCCAATGTCCTTCAAATGAAATTTAGGTACAAACTCAACCTGATTTCAGGATTTGTAAATCAACAAGAGCCTTAATTTGTGACAAAACCTTTTTTGATATTTATCAGGTGTGTTTGGTGAGTCAGTGTCAGTGATGGAAGGAGATTCTGTCACTTTACACACTGACGTTACTGAAATACGTAAAGATGATGACATACTGTGGAAATTTGGAGCTGAAGCATCCCTCATCGCTGAAATCGATACAGCTCATGGAATCTTCTCCACATTTGATGTTCCTGATAAGAGATTCAGAAACAGACTGAAGCTGAACAATCAAACTGCATCTCTGACCATCAGAAACATCACAACTCAACACGCTGGACGTTATGAACTAGAGATAATTGGAGCAAAATGGTCATCAAAAAAATTCAATGTTTCTGTCTATGGTGAGTAGAGATCATTTGTGCTGTCATTCATATATTCTTTTTTAATTAAAGGTGACCTAACACACACAGTTTCACCCAATCTCATGTTAATCTTGAGTACCTATACAGTAGTACTGCATCATTCATATCTCCAAAGCGTCTTTAGTTTTATCATATTTATAAAGGAAAGATACAGCTTTACGATTCTCTCCGGAAACAGCCGAGCTCCTGGAGGCGCGCCGTGGGAGGAGCTAAAGATTGATTAATTTTTGATTTTCTGCTGAACAAGTGGAAACACATTTTGGTGGCAAGCTTAACTAGTATTGAACTATATTCCTTTAAATATTGACATACTGAAATGTGCAATTGTTTTATAGTTTAATATGATAGAAACACTCACACCACAAACACACTACACCGAACATAATATTTATTTAGATTTACCCAGATTTCTGTTTATTTTCTCATGTTTTCCAGCTAGTCTGCATATTCCTAACATTACCAGTGACTGTTCATCATCATCATCGTCATCATCATCATCATCATATTGTTCACTGGTGTGTTCAGTGGTGAATGTGAGTCATGTGACTCTCTCCTGGTACAAAGGAAACAGTTTATTGTCCAGCATCAGTGTGTCTGATCTCAGCATCAGTCTCTCTCTACCTCTGGAGGTGGAATATCAGGATAAAAACACCTACAGCTGTGTGCTCAACAATCCCATCAGCAACCAGACCACACATCTGTACATCACTCAACTCTGTCAACCATGTGCAGGTATGTTGGTGTTGATAGTAATGTGGATTAACTAAGCTCATCTCTCAGTTATATAGTGTTGAAATTTGACAGGGTTTGTTGTAGATCAGACAGACTAATTCAATCACACTAATGCCTCATTTTGTTCATTACAGTTCAGGGGCTACCTTTATTGTACATAGTGCTGATTTCTGCTGCTGGATCTCTTTTGATTGTAGCTGCAGTCGTGATGTGCTGCATCTGCAGGAAAAACAGGTCAGGAGAGCAAGCAATTAATTCTACTTTGCATGCATGTTCATGACCCTAAATGAGAAAAAGTCACAAAAGTTCAAGAAAAACAACATAGGTTTAATAGTATTTCAGATAGAGTTTAAAAAGAAATTATAGCTCATTTTTACCATCTTTGGCTGACAAAATATTTTTCTATATTGAAATGAGTGGGGGAAAGCTAAATTTTTAGCTCCATAGGATAGTAAAAAAATAATATAACCAATAAATGTTATTATGTTGTGTCTGTAGAGTTGCCGTAGGACATTGAAATAGGTGGGTCAAACTGACCAGGGAACAGTACGTTTTTTTTTGTACGACAATTAAAAGTACGACAATTTTTGTGGACATGTCAAAACACATCAGCGTGTTGAAACTTTGCATGCATGTTCATGACCTTAAATGAGAAAAAGTCACAAAACTTCAAGAAAAAAAAACAAAAAAAAAACATAAGTTACCTGATATTTCCAACAACTTAAAAGTCAAATCGGGTCATATTGACCCAGAACAGTACATAAGGGTTATACAAATGGTAATCCATACACCAAACATGGTTACTACACTTTTACTACAATAAAACCATGGTTAATTTCCGTAAGGGGTGGTCTGTGGCCTACTAATTTCAATAATTATTTGTTTAAAATTATATATGAGCAGTTTTAATTATTAATAATTTGATTTGTTATTCTAAATAAACATAGTAGGCAAAGTCATCCATCAGATTTTCATAGGAAAAAAGGATAAAATGTTGTTGTGCTGCAACACACGTGCAACACATGTTATACCCAAGTTATACTGCAACAAGTATGTTTGCTGTTGCTTTTTATGTGAATGGAAGCCATTCTCAGCATAGAAGCTGTCATGACAAACCTTCAAAACTTACAATCTGTTTGATCATTTCATTTTAAAAAAGCCATGTGATGAACTGCATGATTAACGGCCTTTATTAGCCTATGTTCTGTAATAGCAGTAGCTCTTTGAAAAATAAAAAAATGTGGATTAATTTTTGCACCTATTACATTGATAAATTCTTGTTGTAAAGGTTATTCTTAAATTTAGAAACTTGGTCTTCTATTTTCTGTTGTAATACCTGGTTCCTAACTGAGTTTGTGTTTCCTTGCAGAAGTCAAAGGAGGAGGCTGTGTACGAAAATGTGCCCCAAAAAAGATGATGAAATCTGTATCTACTGGAACTGATGTTAGAGCTCATACAGATTCCTGAATGTATCTGTATTACGTTATTTACTGCTTGTTTTCTTGTTACTATGCTCTGCTGGACATTTTGGCAATAGCACAAGCGCACCATTGCTCTCTAGTGTTTAAAGCAGAAACTTGCCTCTCTAAAGATAAGAACTTCTAAAATGGCAGCTGATTAAATTTTAAGTTCATATTGCTAAGGACTGAGTTGCTTAAAACTTTCATGACAATCTTACAGATTGCAGCCATTATGAGACGAGTCTCTTTACAAAAATATAATTTACAAAACGTATTTACAAAAATATGTACTACCATTTAACATCATTTTGTTGGTTTATCATGATACAATTTCAAAATCCTGTAGAAAACAGTTGAATATTATGATACATATGCATATTAATACATAAAAATGCATATTGTTGTTTTACCAGTAAATGTTAAATCTCTTTTTTTTTTTAAACATTAAGAAATATTCTTTATAGCAGTGAAATGCTTATTCAGAAGTCAGAAAATATAACAATAGAAAAACATATTTGGCATTTTGTTGCAGTTTCTATCCACAGTCTTTATTTCCAACAAAATCACGCATTTATTGGTAATACATACTATTTGATATGTAAAAAGTAGTATAAATTTTACTTTTTAAATTAAGAAATCAGATTTTTTTTTCAAGTTTTTGTTACTATCTTTGACTATAATATGCAGAAAAAAAAGATCAGATTTTGGCTGGATTTGAGAAAAACTGAGAAGCGTCCAGAAATCTTGTAAATCAAGTTACAAAATGTTTATCTTGGAAGAATATCACTGCATGGAGACACAAAAAACTATTTACACACAGATGCGAATTAGATTTATACTAGAATCATTGCACTTATTGGTGAAATAATTAGGCTTTGTGGAGTGCAGCAAGCTTTTCAGGTATTTCTTCAGTGAAAAAGAGCAGCTTGTCCATCTTCAGACCCTTTCCCTCAGTTCGCTGCAATCCCAGGTTCATGTATTTATTATACTTGTCATACACAGCAAAATATCCAGTGTTGTTTAGAGTTGTTTTTATGGTGTTAATTTATCAGAGTTAAAAAGTGTTGATTCTGGTGTTGATTTGAATGGCATTAACACTTGCAGTGTAAATCAGTGGTCGGAGTCAGTGTAATTACAGCGAGTTGACATAATTGACACTGGTGATGAGTTGATCCAATTTCCGGTCCTTGCACATTATTTCCTTTTTGATTAATGGCGGACAACCACGAGGAGAGGACAGTGTTCAAACAGGTATAATATTTTATAACCACTTAAATTGACCAATTTTCATGTTTAGTTTACGTTTCTCACCATTCAGAATAATATTAGTACATTTCTCAACATTGCCAGAGTGCTAACAGTATTTCTTTTCAGATAACGCTACAGACCACCGACAGCATCTCCAGGCCAATTTAGCTGCACCACTTGTTTAGCAAGCAAATTGAGGTAAGAATGGCATTGTTTGTTAGTTAGCCGTTTTAAACGTAAGTTTTCTTATATTTGAGAATCTGGGGTAGATAACAGGGTCATTTCTGTGATTTGTGTAACTTGACTGTTTAATGAGTTAAATTAACGCAAATAACGCAGCATCCATATTCCCCTTCTTGGGGGCTCACGTTATTTGTGTTGCCAAAATAAGACAT